ATTACAATATGACTCAGAATGAATAAAATATAAATTATCTGATTTATTTTATTGCATTACCATTGTCATGTTTCTTTGAAAGATATTTTTTAATTGCATAGTTTCTATTACATATAAATTAACTCAGTTGAATTAAAAAAAATTAAAACAAATAAATAATAACATTAATTTGTTTTCAAAAGTACCAAGGTTTCATAGTTTTCATACTGTACATACTGTTTTCTAACATTTAAATTTATTATTAGAACTGACATACTGAAGTTTAATTTATTTTTTGTAATGAACTGTATAGACCACGTGATTAGAAAACCCCATTCTTTCGACATTAGTAATTCTGTACTGTCTTCCTTTAATTTGAGCTATGGAACTTTATTATTTCACCATGGAATGCTTTTTAAGGTCTAACTAAATAAGGGTGGCAGTGCAACAGCTTGCAGTTTGTTGCAGCAGACCTAATGACCTAACTAACAGAAGACCTAACAATATCATTCAAATGAGACCTAAGTCTCATTTGAATGATATCGGGAGACTGAAGAAGGATGTTTTATTTCTATGATTTTAGACATTAAATAAAGTGCTTATAAGTTATATACTTTATAAGTTTGAATCATTTAAAAATAATTCATGAATGTAATTTAATTGTCTTATCTGACTTCGGAAATAGTGTTAAGAATATTTTATATTGCCAATTTTTCATTGCTAGTGGAAGAAGGAGCTTCAGAAAATTTATAATGAAAAATTGTTTAAGATCTCTTGATCTTACAAATATCGCCTTTCTATGGCAACATGGTTACTCGTTCAAACATAGCTTTTCTATTTCAAGCATGGCCATTCTATGATATTGAGGAATGAAGTGACGAGGTTAGTTTTGTATTAATTATTGTTAACTTTCTTCATTAAAAGCCAGAAAACTTAAGAAATTAAAAATACTTGAAAAGTAAATTGTGATAGTTTTATATGAGCTACATCACTATTCATACTGTTCAATACTCTTTGCTATTTTTAATGTCTTACATTTAAGAATTATAAATCATTATAAGTGTCATTTTTCTGAATATATAAAGCTGTAATTAAATGTTAATATGAGAGTCTTTGTCTATATATGTCTACTATATACATATAGTGTGTCCTGTATGTTTTCGTGGTCAGATACCTTGCTTTGAATATAGGGGGTGTTCATTTACCTCTTTGCCTCTGGTTAAAAAATATGTAGGCATGGCTCTGAGAACTACTCTTGCAAATTTATGCTAATTCTTGTTGCTTCAGTATCTCCAACACTTTTTTTCAGCATGTTATTTTAAATTAATAACATATTAAATATTTAACAAAAAATTAATATTTTTAAAACAATGCACAAATTAAATATTTAACTACAAAAAACTGGTATATTTCAAAAGAGAAAAGTTTCATTAGCTGAAGAAACTTAAGTCATATCCTCACATGCAAATTGATGACCTATTATTTCTCGCCAAGCCCAATGTAAAAGGGATGTGCCCAAAAAGTACTTAACTAGTACTATTTATGCAGGCATTTAAAAAAGATTTTTTTAACCTTTATGTTAACATCAAATTATTTATATGTATTTAAAGCATGATTTTAATGTACTATTACACAAAAATTTTCTAATCACCATGTATTTTGTACTTATTTATAATGTAATATAAGTAAGTGCACACATTTACATTTACATAATAAATCACAATATTTCAATTGATTTTATGTTTAGGATTTAAGAACTTATTAGTATGGCTTTGTTCAAATAAATGATCTTTTTTTTTTTTTTTTTTGTTGTTGTTGTTGTTTGTCTGTGTGTGTGTGTGTGCGTGCGTGCGTGCGTGTGATGGTGTGTGTCTGTGTGATTGTATCTTTTTTGGTTGAATCTCTTGCTTTATTGTTTAGAAAATGTCTTATATGATCGTATTCTAATACTAACTCAAGCTGGCAGGTGTAAAATTTAGAATGAAACCAAATAAAAATGAAATGCACGTGTAACAGGTTTTTTTTTTTTTTTTTTTTTTTTTTTTTTTTTTTTTTTTTTTAAGAATTGCACTTTTAATTAGTGAAATGAGTACTTATGTATTATCCCATTGACTGTGGAAGTTGTCTCAATCATCCCTGTGGAATTCTGAAAGAATTTATGCCATTTTATTTAATAAGCAATCGGTATTCAACCCTGTCTGTTTTTGCACTTCGTGAAAAGATTTTCATCCATTTCTACTGTTTTGTTAGACCTTCTAATTTTACTGGAAGCTCTGTTTAGAATGTTATATGTGTATATTCCAACAGATAATTATTCCAATCTATTACTGTTTTCTCAGTAATATTCAACTGACCATAGTATGTTCATTAATAACACTCTTTTTATGGAAGCATGCCATAACTTCGGAAGTAATCTACTGCTTGCTGGAAGGCAGGTCCCAAATTTTAATCATGTTTTCAAAATACAAGGGAAAAATACAGCAATAACAGTGAATTTATATCCTTGTGGTTTATCAAGAATCTATCATCAAACAAAAACACATGTGTTATGAGTGCATTATTGCATCATATTTATTTATAATTGACTCTAGATCATGCTGCTTGATAACAGTTTCATGATCAACAGGATAATACATAAGTACCATGAAATCAAACACTCATTTCAAATAATCTAAATTCTCATTAAAAAGAAAATATATGAAGAATGATGAGTGTATAAGAGCCGTATTCAGTATACAAGGAGATTTGATTTTAGAGAGTTAGACAAAAATTTGGGCTGTTATAATCAAAATCGCTTATATGTATTTTAAATTGAGGTAATGCTATAAGTATCTTTTACAAAAAAAAAAAAAAAAAAAAAAAAAAAAAAATTACTTTTGAAATATCTGTATAAAGATGGAGGATTGTATATATATAGAGAGAATGTAATATTGGTGGAATTTATCTAAGTAGTTTAAAAATATATAAATAAGTTTGAAAATACAGTTTCATTCAGTAAACTAGAAACTGTAGTTCTAAGGGTTTATATAATATAAAAGAATTCATTATAAATAAACACAAAATGCTGTTTAAAAAAGAACCAAATATACTATCATCTCTTGGTCACAAATATAAATTAATGTAAAAAACTTATTTGCATCAAGTGTATAGCTGTACATAGAGGAAAAAAGAAATCTTTAAAAAATGTAAACATAAAAATTTTTTTAATTAATATTTAATATATATTTTAAGGATTTTGGTATTTGCATTGCATCAATTCATAGTTGTGCTAAAATAAATATCGAAAAATAAAATACAGTCAAAAGTCGTTAATTCGGACTCTTCGGCGATTCCGGATTATTGATTTTCCCGGATTACAGATCATCAGTTTAAATCTGGTAAGATGGCATGCATGCAGAAATTATAAAATTAAAAATATGAAACCGTAATTTATGAAAAAAAGAACAATTATGATCTAAAGGGTATAAAAATTTACAAAAAAAGAGCTTAATATTTATTTGTTTACTTTATTAAAAATTTCTTTTAATGCACGCATGCGTAAAGCATACATCACGCATAGTCGAAATTAGAAAATTGCAACCAGAAAACTGTTTGATGTGTATTCGTGATATTTATAATGAATTTTATTTAAATCATATAAAAGACAGAGTACATCGAGATGAAATACTACATTTAGTAATGAACTATAAGCCGAATAAAATAAAAACATCTGCCCTGAAGATATGGATAGTGCTGACAGATCAGTTTCCAGTTCATTGTGCACCGCGACCATCCTCTTCCCCGCAGAGCAGCGTGAAATTCATAAACAGATTTTGGAATGGTTAGAAAAACAAAGGATATGCCTTTATCCATTTTTTGCAGCAATTCCACTTTTTGTTTAATGGACTTCGAAACATACTTTCGCTTTGTAGATCCTATACATATTAGTAAATATATATCAGAAATTCTATTTGACATAATCGAAAGTTCAAGCTTACTTTTATAAAATTGCTCTAACAGTCTGCAAAGAATAATAAGCCGGATCCAATTCGAAGATTAAGGAACAACGCAGTCTGCAATATTAACTGAATTAGATAATTTTAGCTTAGCTTATACTGTCTGTTATACATTAAACACGCATGCATAAACATATTATGCGCATGCGCACACGCATATTCGCAGCCGTAAAGGTCTTACGCGCATATTCTTACGCATATTCGCAGCCGTAAAGGTCTTGCGTCAAAGCGACGCATGCACAGAATGTTTGTAGCTTTGAGTTCTGGATTAAATATCATTCCAAATTATGGGTGTCCGAATTAACGACTTTTGACTGTACTTATATGTAAAAAATTCAAAATTGTAATTTTGCACGCATTTGTTAGAGTATTAGGTACTCTTCTGTTGCTGGGACTGGATTAAGAAAGATATGTATGTATGTCCTTATATGTATATGTGTATATAGACAAATGCATATATACATACATGTATATGCATACATGAATACAGATATTCATACATTTCTGAATCTGGTCCTGATAACAGAACAGTACAGAGCATTATTTAGTTAAAACTTGTTATTCAATAATTCTTTCAAATGGTTAACAAACTGAAAAGAAAGAAAAATTTCTACATCTACAAAGGTAAAATTTTAATACATTATAATTATTTAACTTAATGTAAGTAATTAATTCATATACCAGTTAGGAAAACTTTTCTTATTCAATGAAATATTTATAATTTTTGTGATTAGTATCAAATTTCAAACTGAAAATATAGTTAGTTCATTATCAAAATACAGAAAAATTATATCCACCTCAAACTTAATAGTATTGTAGAGTGTTTTCTGTCTTTAATGTCATTAAGGATATATCTAGTGAAGTGGCATAACAGAGGGCATCCCTTTATTTTTGTATGTTTATGTATGAATGATTTGAAGGTATGTTTTTATTTACGAATTATTTATGTGTATATTTTTATTTATGAAGCTTTCATTTTATATAAGCAGCAGCATGTTTAAAATATCCAGATGTAAATATTTACAGGCAATTCAAGCAGCTATTAGCAATGCTTTTCAAACTCCTGAAATAATTCAGCTTTTTGCTCGGAAACAACCTGAACAATTAAGACAGAAGTTAGCAGAGGTAATTTATTCATATATGTTTTCTAAACAGATCAATGAATGGGTGTATAGTTTTAATATGCTATTGCAATGTATTTATATTTTGCTAAGCTGAAAGTAGCAGATTTTGTCATAAAATATGAAAGAAAGATTGTTTTAATAATTTATTAAATTTAACACAAAGGTGAGGGAAATTTATAGAGAAAAATGTCTAAATGAAATTTTAACTTAGGCTGAAAAAAAAAAACTTTTAATTGTTTTAAGTTTAAAAAAAAAAAAAAAAAAAAAAAAAAAAAAACTTCCAGGGCCTCTGTTAGACTACCTTTAAAACTGACAGAGTTTTATTCAAAATCAATATGAAACCAAGGTTGCTATTTCCCTTATTTTAAACATATTAAGGCTTTTGTCTTTGAATGCCATTTTTGGTGGTGTATGTTGTTGCTGTAGATATAACGATAGTAGCTTGGCTTGGTAATATTAACAGTTTTATTTAACACTAGAAAAAGGTATATATTTTAACACATGTTCACTGATACACAGTCACAATGATTACAGTTCGCATGGTAAGCATTTTTATAGTTAGCAAGTCCACGTATGTGAAAAATCACAAAAGTGAAGCGGAAGAGAGCGCGTGCTTCACCGATGGCAGCCAGGAACAGAGTAACCAGTCCGAATTTTCCCCTGGTGGAGAAGAGGGAGAAAGCTGGTAGCGCCCTCTCTTGGGCCAGTGGTCAAATAATAATAATAATAATAAAGAGTTCTCCACAGTATTCCCCCGATCCTGAGTACCAAAGGTACAATGAAAAGATCAGTTCATAAATATCTGGTGTTGAAGCGCACACATCTTCCCGATTGTGTGACAACTGGTGGAGCACTGGGAGGAAGCGTATGGTCGATTGAAGGAGGATCATCTGGAGAAACAGTTGGGTCCGGGAAACCAGGAGGATCGTTGGTCACAGGAACCTGAGTGTTTGAAGCTTCAAAGAAGGCAGGCTTCAGTCTGTTTATTCCCAGAACGGTTTCCTTGTCACGCACAAGAATGGTGAAATATTTATTGTTACGTGCACAGGAGGAGTGCACGTAACAATAAATATTTCCATACGATGGAGTAATTTATTGTTACTCCATCGTATGGAGGAGTGAGTGGTGGTTTTACCGCGTCATTTCGCACAAACACGTGAGTGCAAGTGCTCAGTGCATGGTGTACGAATGGGGTGGATTTGTCGTGGCATGATGTATGAGTCGGAGACAGCTTCTTCATCGCCTACATCGCCAAACAGCTGCAGATCTGCTAATTGTTAATCTGAAAGATAAATTATAGATCATATTTCAGGTCAAATGGCAGTTTGCTGAGAACTGGCTACTTACTAGGCTTTGTAAAAATTAAAATTTGGTCCAGTGGCAACAGTAACACAAAGTAAAATGGTGACTTTGTAAAATTTAGAAAATTAAAAAAAGACTATTTAAATGCATTTGGAACAAAGGTAACTTGTCATTTTTGTTTATGAAACTATTTTGGATGGACTGTATCTAATTAGTAAATAATTGTAAGTTCAGATAAATTTCAGTTGTTAGCTGAGATTCTTAATTTTGAAGAATTGTTTCTGTTTGTTCAGTTATGTCAGTAATAAAAATAATAATATTAACAATTAATGTGCTCTTACTGATCAATTGTAAATTGAATTTGAAATTTCGTGATTTTTTTTTTTTTTTTTCAAGAAGATAATGTTGATCTAAATAATACATCAAATGTTCAAGCACATTCTGAGTATATTTTCTTTATCTAAAGACCTTTCTTTCCAATTCTTATTTCTTTTTTGGGGGGGTTATACAAAATAAAGCATCAAAGATTTGACAACATTCAGAAAGCTACTGAATTCTCTGAGTCTGTATTGTCTATCTTGGGAAAACATGCCAATAGTTGAACAAAGAAAGGCAACAAATATTAAAAAACTAGTGACAAATTTCTTTTGAAAAGGTCCTATCTCCACAAACATTAAAGAAGTGTGGTTCACTTTTGTCAAGCTGCAGGGTTACAATAGTTGGCATGTTGTTTATTATCCAGGGATGGAAGGATGGGAGGGAGATGTAGTGAGAGGCATTTCTTGAAAATACAGCATTTATGCTACTTTGGCTTCGCTCTTCCATTTTTCTGGCTGCAGAATACTGCTGAAGATAATAATTTAGAAGTCAAACAACAAGAATCAGTGTTATATTTTCAAATTTTTACAGGACTAGTTTCAATGGTTTTACTGAACCATCATCCTCAGCTGTAAAAGCGCAAATGTACGAGATAAGATATAATGATTAGATAAGATAAGGTATATTTTTTATTAGATAAGATGCATTATTATGAATCAAAATTGTTTGAAACTTTAAACTTCCCGGTATGATTCCGCTACGTAGACGATACTTTTACCCTGTTTGAAGGTAATAAAGATGATTTAAATAAAATTCTTTCAATAATGAATTCCAATGATCCTGCTATTCAGTTCACTTTTGAACTTGAGACTTGCAATTCTCTTCCGTTTCTCGACATTCTGGTCACACGTAACACTTCAGTACTACAGTTTACTGTAACCTTCATCGGTTTGCCTTCCACCACACTTCAAATTATGTCATCCGACTAAACAAAAGTTAGCTTCATTTTATTCCTATGTTTTCCATGCTCTTCAAGTTTGCTCCTCCAAACTATCCCTTGATGAAGAACTAAATTATTTAAAAGCAATAGGTATTGACAAGAGCTTTTCACAACATTATTAATCAAGCTGTTAAAAAATTCTCATCTCAACACACCAAAAGGCACACTCTTATTTTAGGAGATTATAAAAATTCTGTTGTCATTCCCTTCTTTCCATTAATTAGCTGTAAAGTTGCACATATTTTTCAGAAATTTAACTTTTGGGTCGTATATTCTCCCATCAATAAAATTCTGAGTTCCATACTCAAGAACCCCATTCCGAATATGAATTCCTGGGGTATTTACAGGATTCCTTGCCAGTGTGGTTTAATTTACATTGGCCAAACTAAGAGAGCCTTAAAATTTCTTGTTAAGGAACATGAGGCATATGTTGGAAAAAAGGAAACACAGAAGTCTTCTGTTGCCCAACATTGTTGGTCCAAAAATCACACTTTCAATTTTTCTGCTGCCAAAATTATTCAAAAAACATCTTCCATTGGTGAACTGGATTTTTTAGAGGTATTTCACATTCAAAAAAAAAAAATCTTTCTGTTCTAGTTAACGACCCTAATTCCAATCCATCTTTGCCTTCAGACTTTAAAGAAATTATGTTTTAGTTCTGGTTTCATCAACAGATGGCGCCAGTAGCTTATCTCCTGTCCATGCTTTCTTATCTTATCTCGTTCATTTGCGCTTTTGCAGCTGAGGTTGATAGTTTGGTAAAACCATCGAAACTAGCCCTGTGAAAATTTGAAAATATAATGCTGATTTTTGTTGTTTGACTTCTAAATTAATATTTGTTCGGCCTGTTATTGTATCTTAACTGCTGAAGATGTTCGGGCAGCTGCTGGTATGTTTGCTCATCTAGGGCTTGACAGAGTTTCTTCAAGCCAGGTTGAAACATCGTATCTTTCCCATCCTGCTGGCTATGTACTTAGTTCTTAATCTTCTTTGATTCTCAGTATGGGAGTTTACTAAACCATCCCTCTTTTTTTTCATAGAACACCTAAAATTAAGCATAAGCTTTAAAGTAGGAGTGAACAAACTTTTTTAAATCAGGCACAGCAGAAAAAAAAGAGCATTGCTCTTTTTTAAAAGTATCGCTCTTAAAAATAATTCCAGTGGAAGAAAAGGGCATTGCTTTCAAATTGACTCCAGTATTGAAGAGAAAAAAATCTGATGTGGACAGCGCATGACCTTCCGTGTTAAGACAGGGAATAGGCAGAATAACATTGAGCTTTAAATAAACTATCAACCTCTGGTTGGTCATTTGTAAATGAAATCTACCTGTTTACAAACTTTATAGTTCAATATTAAATATAAATACTACTCATTTTTCATTATTCTATTCCCCCATACAATGGACTATGATAACTGTACATGCTGATGTAAGCTTAAATACAAAAAACAGAAATCTGTGGAAGTTTCGTGTAAGAGTTATTGCGGACGACAAAAAAAAAAATTGTGTCTCAGATACAGGTGTGCTGATAGATAGACATCATTATAAAATTAGTAAAAGCATGTTTTATGGATCCTAATTGTAATTTTCAGAGATTCACCTCTTTGAATACGCACTTCACTTACCATTAAATTTACATCCTGTTGAGAGAATTTGAATTTGAGGGGAAGTTGAGAAGTTCAGTAAAGGTATCAAACTTAAAATAAATTTGTTATGCAAAATAAGGGAAACGCCTACAACTATTGAAATTTTGGATCAATAACATTACCTCCCCATACCTATAGTTCTTTTTTTAAAAAAAAATTCCCAGGCTCTTGCCTTTCATTGTTTTAAAATTAGCCATTGTTAAAAGTCCTGCTTTGCAAATATATGATGTGGAAAATAATATGCTTAGTGGTTTTTTTTTTTTTTTTTTTTTTTTTTTTTTTTTTTTTTTCCTCTCTAAACTTAGATATTTGTCTTTAACAGAGATCCAAAATTTTTCAGTATTTTCAATGAAATTCAGTTTTAATCCACAGTCTGAAGAGAGCAACATCAACAGTTTTTCAGAGTGAAACTGGAAAAGGCAGTAGAAACAAACAGATATCTCATCCAGTCTGTTTGTTAAGTGTTTAACAGTGGAAAATATTTTGATAGTGTTCTGTTGTCGGGGAGAATGGATTCAGAAATGTATGTTTGTGTTCATGTATATATGTAAGCACAAATGTGTGTTTATATGTGTACACATATATGCACAAACATACATACATACACACACATATGTACATACATTTCTGAATCTGGTCCCAATTACAGAATAGTACCAATATTTAAAAAAAAAAAAAAAAAAATTATTGTTAAAATGTTCAGTTGTTAAAGAAATGATTGCTCCATTTTGTATCCT